TTGTTTTCGGGCTGGCCACCCCCCCTTTAGGTGGGGGGTTCCCACTGGGGTTCCTGGCCAGTATGGGTGAGGGGCTGAGGGCACTTTTCAGGATGGCCAAGCCCCCTGGCGATGGAAGCTCCCAGCCTCTCCTTTTGTTTTTCTTTTTTTTTTTTTTATTCTGTGCCAGCTTTAGCCTGGCTCCAGCTCTGAGGCCTCCGCTGCTGAAAGCAGGTATCTGGTTTGTTTAGGTTCTATAATCGAAACTCTGTGTCAACTCCAGCTCTGAGATCCCAGCTGGCTGAAAGCTCGTTTCTGTGGTTTTGTTTAGCGTCCATATTTGTTACAATGTTTCAAACTGTAGGCTCTGAGGCCGGCAAGGCAGGCCGGGAACGTTGGAGTCCTCCGTCACTGAAGCAAGCAAGCCTCATGTTAATTTCAAGCTGCCTGGCTGCCAGCCGCCATCTTGGCTGGCAGTTAATTTGCATATTGCCCTGATTAGCCAATGGGAAGGGTAGCGGTCATACACCAATTAGCATGTTTCTTTTTTATTAGATAGGACAAGTGTCAGGCACTTTTCTAAGCTGCTTTACATATATTGACTCAGCAAATCATCACAATAACCCTAAGAAGTAAGACTATTACCATCCCCACTTTATATATATTGAAGCTGAAGCACATAAAACTTAAATATCTTGTCCAAGGTCATGCTGCTGTAAGTGGGTGAGCCAAGGTTGAAACTGGGGGATTTTGTGTCCACTATCTATGCTTTTAATCACTATGCTAACGTGTCTCTCCTTAGAAAAAGCTGCACTCAGTGTACGTACCGCATTTGTAATATATGTTCTGCTTTTAAAGGGTAACATTTTCTCATGACTAAAACTATCATCATCATTTTTAGTAATTAACATGTTTTGCCATCAAATTGATAGATCTCATTTTGCTTACTTTTGTTATCTAATGCTGGACTTTCAAACTATTGCTAATTTCTTTCATTATATATAAAAATGCTACAATAAGCAAATTTTGCATTGTATGTAGCTCGTTTCCTTCTTTTGCATTTTTTTTAAATATATTTTATTGATTTTTTACAGAGAGGAAGGGAGAGAGATAAAGAGTTAGAAACATCGATGAGAGAGAAACATCGATCAGCTGCCTCCTGCACACTCCCCACTGGGGATGTGCCCGCAACCAAGGTACATGCCCCTGACCGGAATCGAACCCGGGACCCCTCAGTCCACAGGCCGACGCTCTATCCACTGAGCCAAACCGGTTTTGGCCTTCTTTTGCATTTTATTTTTTTATGCTAATATTCCCAAAATGGTTTGACTGACTTAAAGTATATAGAAGTGACACATTACTGATACATAATATATACTGCTTTTTAAAATTTCATTATATAGTTACCAGAGTCCTAGCCAGTTTGGCTCAAGGATAGAGCATCGGCCTGCAGACTGAAAGGTCCCGGGTTCGATTCCGGTCAAGGGCATGTACCTCGGTTGTGGGCACATTCCCAGTAGGGGGTATGCAGGAGGCAGCTGATCAATGTTTCTCTTTCATCAATGTTTCTAACTCTCTATTCGTTCCCCTTCCTCTCTGTAAAATATCAATAAAATATATTTTTAAAAAATAAAATAAAATAAAGTTACCAGAAATTAGAGACTGCTCGGATCTTCCTATTTCCCCCTAAATTTAATTTATTAATATAAAGTGGTTAGGAATGGTTTACTAGTATGATGTGAAATAGTTAACCTAACAAATATTTAAATTTTTAAATGGGCCACATGTTTTCTTCCTCTAGCAACATAAAAGTAGAGATAATCCAATTATTTGCTGCTGAGGAGATTGGTGCTATCTTGATTCTTTAAGTGAGCCTCAAAAAAAAAAATCAGTTACATACTCGAAGTCACTAGTTAGTATCAGGCATGGAGTCAGCCCAGATCTGATTGACTCTAAAAATCTATGCTTAGATAATGGGAGGAGGAGGAAAGAGGTGGGTCAATGTATGACAAGATAAAGAAGTTGTATAAAAGATTTATTTCAATCTTCATTGAAGATTATTTATCTCATAAAAGGGTAAACTACCCTGAGGTAGCTATTATAGAGGGATTACATTTCCCTGATGTATTTTTCTGATCAATAATTTCAAATATGAAAGAATGACAATAGCAGTTAACAAAATGATTCATCTATCTTTATCTCCAACTACATGCTTTCATTACAATCTGGTTTCATTTATATTCTAAGCAAGAAGCTAAAGGATATAAACATTACTCTAAAAGCATTCTTTCTTAACTGTTATCTTACAGTATTATATATGCTCTCCATAGTCCAGAAAGATTGTAACTTTTATAACACAATAAAGGTCACTGAAATGTCAGATAATAGATAAGAAACACAGGCTTTGGAGTCTTAAATTCAGACTCTGACACTTACTAGCTTATATGTCTTCTGGAATGTTAGTAGCAAATTCCTACTTTATTGGGATAGTGCTTAACTAAGGGAGATAACAATTACAAAACTCCTAGCACATGGCAGATGCTCAAACAAATTTTAGCTCCCTTTCCTTTGAAGAATGACAGATACATGGAATATCAAGGATACTGGTTTTAAAAGTCATGCTTCATTATTTCCCTCAGACACACAGTAGCATAACATGAAGCGTCAAGATCAAAAGAAATCAAAAGAGATAAAGTCGCTTCATCAATGTGGGAACCTTCTGCTTTGACATCAATACCATGTTCTTCTATTAGCTGGTATGACAGATTGCGGGGTTGTTTCAAAATCTTTCTATAGCATCCTGGAACGTTCAGTTTCAGAGTAGGTACTTTAAACCTACATGTCTGTAGTCCATCTCTGCTAAGTACTTCCTGGTACCACAGCCCTACTTTGTTCTTTGGGTACTGAACATTGTATCCAAGCACTGGAAGAACCACCTGCACAAGGGAAGGGGGCAAAAAGATACATGAAACAGCCTTCAGAAAAAATATATGATCAAATTTTAAATTTACTTTTATGACTGGGTCCTAGATCTGTAAAAACAGTCTCAGAATAGAAACGTACAATCAGCCTAAAACATACTATTGAATACTATACTACTTTATTTTTTATGCTAGCAGACAAAGAAAAGAGCTACCTAAAATCAAGAAGGATTCATAATAAACAAGATAACCAATTCAAGTCAGATATTACTAGACAAACCACTACTAAGGTAGAAGAGATGGAACAAGAAGTTTAGGTACACTTAATTAACCAACAGACTTAATCTCTGTGCAGTCATACAATCCTAAAAGCAGATTCTTTCTCTAACACAAAGAATAACCTCTGCTGCTCAACTGGTATTTTAGTTGATAATTTTACATTCCTCTTACTAATTTAAAAACATGAGAGCAAATAGCAGACAGCAAAAGTAATGTTTATTTTCTCAGCCGCTGATGAGTAGATACTGCATTCTGTGGGGTTTTCCTCCTTGACTGATGACCTCTAGACATTTTTCTTGAACAGTACCAGAGGGTAGTCAAAAAAGAAACAAGGTAAAAAAACTCAAATCCACACAATATTAATGTTGCAAATTCATTAGGCTAATTGAAAGAAGCCAGACACAAAAGGCCATCTATAATAATAAAAGTATAATATGCTAATTAGACCAGGCAGCCAAACGACCTTCCGGACATCCTTCTGGATGAAGCCAGGGCTGTCAGGACCAAGGCAAGCCGCTGTGGCTGCGAGGGCCGAGCCCCTTGCACGATTTTGTGCATCAGGCCTCTACTATACTATATGATTCCATTTATATGACATTTTTTAAAAGGCAAAACCATAGGGATAGAAAGTAGATGAGTTGTTGCCTGGGGATGGAGGTTGACTACAAAGGGCACAGGAAATTTTGAGGAGAGATGAAACTATTCTTCATCTTGATTGTTGTGGTAGTCATATGGCTGTATACATTTATGATATATATATATATATATATATACACACTCTAAATTGGAAAGTGGAAAAAAAATAGTGGGGGAGGGGAACTGGTCACATGTTTGTCTTTTGGAGATAATGTCTACATTTAGATCTAAGTGATACTAATTTTTAAGCAAATTTACCTGATGTATTGCATATGCATTAGCCGATTCCTCTTCTTCAGTTACAAGGTGAACCTATTTTTAAAAAACATGATGAAAAGTATGGATGATTCTCAAATGTTCCGAATTTCTTCAATTTTCCCTAATTTTGTTATGTAAAATTTGACTCCTATGCTGAATATGCATATATCCAAACAAGACCTTTACACAGTTTATTTCTGGAGGAGCAGATTACATAAAAAATTAGAATTATTCTTCCTGCTTTAACCACTGATAACTGAAGTTGGCACACACAGATTTGGGCGGGCAGCTTAACACTTCTTTACTTTTACCTCAGTCACCAACAATCTTTTTCCAAATTACAAAGTTGTTCTTTATTACGCTGAATCAAAAATCTGCTTCTGTCAAACTACCCCCTCCTTTGTCCCCAACAAATATCAGACTCTATGGGAAGTGGTGTTTCTCAAAATGCATTTCATAGAACAGTTACGGGTATCATATGTAGGAGGTGTGTGATGTATTACGTTTGAGAAATGTTGCTGCAGGACACCACAGAATAACTAATTTCTCTTGCAAAGGAGAGCTCAAGTTCAAAGGCAACAGCATCATTCCACAAGGACTGACAGCATCTCCACCTTCCTAAAGCACTCAATGTATATGATAGTGTCCAGATAGCTTCTAAATCTGCTTGCTTTCCCCTTTATTCTCTACCCTTATCAATAATGTTCCTCCTCGTTTTTGTGGTTTTTTCACTTGAGTTGCTTATTTTTAGGTAAATAACCTGTTTAACTGTTATACTCCGAAATGGATATAAAACTCCAGGTGTGATCTGACCAAAATAAATGGGGTTATGATCTCTCCTGTATCACTTCCAGCTTTTTGTCTTTCACAAAGTCATAAGCATACCTACAATATTGTTATTTAAATAATTTATGAAAATACCAAAAAAACATGTTCAGGTACAAAAGACCATGTTTTGCCTTAAGAGAACTCTCTCCAGGTTAATATCAATCTACAAACATGCTTTTGCTGTATGACTGCTCCCCAAATATGAATTGTGCAACTCACATTTCTCTATCTTGCTCATAAAAAAATTAAAAGAGAATCTACCAAATGCCTTGAAATAAAGATATACTTCTTAGCCTAGTAATCCTATCAAAAAGGGAATCAGATTTGTTTCCTACAATTTTTAATTATAGATGTGCAACATTACATGTCCTATATACTAGTACCACGTCTTAAAAATCTCATTTTGCTTTTTTCCTTTTCCTAATTTAAGTTTTGAGCCTCTAAGTCCTGCCTGTTCTTTTCTCAATGGTAACTAATAAAGCATAAATGATTGGCCTTAAAATTATAAACAATTTTTGCTGCTGATAAAAGGAAACTTCAGGATATAAAGGAGAAAATGTTCTCTTTTCTCCTACAGCTCCAAAAGGAAAAGCTGATACAATTCTGACCACAAAACTCCTTACTAATGTTATGTTGAACAAAGAAACCTACAAGATGCATGTATTTCAGAGACCATTGTAATATCTTGTCAAAGTAACCTTTAACTTCTACAAATCGGAATGAAAAAATGGCTGACTTACTAAATAATGTATAGCGTAGAGTTGCTAATAACCATCTTGCCATTAAAGGAATAAAGTTTAAGCCAGACTGAGGTAATATTTAAATGGACAGGTTATCCAGAAGGTGTTAAAAAACTTAGAATTTTTCATTATTTATTAGAAGAGGATCACTGACATTTCTCTTCTTCCATTCACATGAGTTAAAATAAAACGTAAGATACTGCTAGGTTTCTTTCTACACAGTTTTGTCTGTGTCTGTTAAATGACCATTCTTAGTAATTTATGATCCTAGGGATTACTTTCTTACCTAAATATTCAAAAGCCATGAATATTGAAATGATAAAACTTAATGAAATAATAAAACTTGCTCAGCCTTTACTACCTCTTTTCCGGTAGCAAATTTTCCAGAGAGCTCCCCTCCCAGATCTCAGATGCAGTTAGGGTGGGATGGTTTCAGGAAGGAGCCCTGGCAACACGGGCTTACGAATCACATACTCCAGTCCACAGCTATGGGGCTGGGGAACTATGGCCCAAGTCACACCATGCTGAGCCACTGAGACTCAATTCCATGGCTTTTGTTAAAACTGTTGAGGGAAAAAAGCCCTCTTTTCTGGAGAAGTTGTGAGAAATCAGCGTAGAGTTGCTAATAACCATCTTGCCATTAAAGGAATAAAGTTTAAGCCAGACTGAGAATGAATCTAACAGAAAATCAGCTGACAGCTAAAGAAAATGAGGGGTGAGGTAGGACATTGCCTAAGACCCTGGATACAGCTGGGCCTGGATCAATCATGGGCTTCCAGGTGTGAGGGCCAATAAATTCCTGTCTGCTCTTTCTTATGTTAGTATGAAGTGGGGTTCCTTTATGTGAAATGAATATAAACGTCTCTAAGATATTGTTAAAAGGTAAACAAGTTGTGAAATTGCACTTATATAAAAGAAACACAGACCATTACATGCCCTATATACCATTATAACAAAAATCTTTTCTTTCATATGTTAAGCTTTTAGCCTCTAAGCCCTGTCTTTTCTTTTCTCAGTGTTAACTAATAGAATAAAAATCTCTTTCCTGTGGATATTTATGTGAAAGCATAGAAAAATATCTAGAAGGACACAGGCTCCAAAACAGAGGTTGGTTTTCTGGAGGCAGGGGAGGAGATCACAACGGAGTCATGGCAAGGGTAACAGCTACATCTGCAATGTTTCGGTTTTTATTTTTAAAGAAACTGTTTTGTGCATTATTTATAATTTTTTAAAAAATGTGTTCTTCAAAGGAAGTTTTACTATCTTTGTACCTTTCACTTCACACCATTGACTATTTTATTTTTTCATTTATTGACGTGTAGTAAGCCTCAGCTGACAGCAGAGTAGAAAAGAAGATGAGCAAATATAAGTTAAACAGGAATAAAATCCATATTTAGGTTTAAGTTGTTTATAAAATAAGGGCTTCAGAAAATTAGTATTCCTGCTAAGGTAACTACTCTTGGGAAATCCTGATGAAATGACACTTACTTTATTATTTGGGAATTGCTCATCATCACCATCTTCATCCAAACAGACCAAATCACCCTCCACCACTCTTGATCCATAGGTTGCTAGTCTGTAAGATACGGCCTCATTCCAAATTTTGCTGCTATATGCATGAATGTAGAAAATGCGCATAGAATGAGGAAAGGAGAACCAGGCCTGGATACAACCCTCCTCGGTCATGCTAAAGCGATGCAGTGACTCCAACAATGCTCTCTCTCGAACTTTGAATTCTGGCATCAATGAAAGTGTGCCTTTAGCATCCTCTGCAATAAAGAGAAAATCAGTTAGTCAACCACTTTTATTTAAAGGCCAGTTATGAAGACCTTTATTATGCTTTCTAAATGAGAGTCAATGAACTGCTGCTCTTTTACACCTGAATATGAAGATGTTCAGCACCAACTATAAATCTAACTACACTTGAAGAATTGTTTTTTTAAAAAGAAAGACCATTAATCATATGAGCCATTCACGTTCCCTGCTTTAAAAAAACAACAACAAAACACATAAAAACAAAAACAGCCCAGCCAGTTTAGCTCAGTGGTTGAGTGTCAACCCATGAACCAAGAGGTCACGGGTCGCATTCCCAGTCAGGGCACATGCCCAGGTTGTGGGCTTGATCCCTAATAGGAGGCCTGCAGGAGGTGGCCGAAGGAAGATTTTTCTCTCTCATTGATGCTTCTATCTATCCCTCTCACTTTCTCTCTCTCTAAAAATCAATAAAAACACATTAAAAAATAACAAAAAGTAGTAATTCCTACTTCAGAATGAAGATAAACTAATTTACAGTTATTAGAGGACTTCATAAAAGAGTATTAAATAAACCTCTGAACCTAGGGATTTAAAAAGAGCTATTATGGACATTTACAGAGAATTGTTTGAATAAGAAAGGGTGATGTCTGGATTCCTCAAGCATAATATTAGGTCTCGCTGGTGGGATGCATTTTAAAATTAGGGACTCTACTGTAAAGATGCTGATGCCAACAGGGCCTTGGAATCAGCATTTTAATAACTGCATCAGGTTTCTTATGAACATTAAAGTGTAAATATCATTGAAATCATTGCCATAAGGAAATTATCTTCTCAGGACTCTACAATAGAGACAAACAGCTCCCTTTGAATTTTCTTTAGTATCACTTAGATTACTCATAACAATTTGAAATGCCCATATTATTTATAGAGTGTGTTTTGGTATAAAAATATTTCTCTCCTATGAATAATTACATGTTTTTATAATATGTACATACTTAAAAATAATGGAGATTTTTGAAAACTGGAATCATTTATTTTAATGTTAGTGAAATTTAGTATGCACATATATGTAGATCACAGATTTGAATGAATCTAAAATGGTATGGTTGCTGTTATTATTACTTAAATACAAGTAAGATTTGTTCAGTATTTAGTATGTGCTAGGCACTATTTTAAGAGCGTTACGTCTGTTATTTCATTTAAATGTCATAATAGTCTTTTAGGTACTATTATTAGCTTCAATTTCAGGTGAAGAAACGAAAACAATGAGGCTAAATCATTGCACAAGCCCATACAGTTGGCAAATACTAAAGGTGAGCGTTACACTCATATAAATTGACTCTAGAACCCACACTCAGAACTAGTTTTCTTTAGTGTTTCCTATTAAGCATTCTGCATATATGTCATCCTATTGAGCTAGAGTTTTCAAAATCACTAGTCAGGGCTGAATGGCAACTAGACCAGAACCAATGCACAAAGTATCAGACATAACAAATGTTCTTTTATTTAGTTTATTTTTCTATCTCCTCTAGTTGTAGTGAATTATATACTTCCATCAGTACCAGTTTAGAATTGGGAACTCCTATCTCCTCAGAGGATTTAGGTCAAGAAAAACTAAGACGCCATCTGTCCCTTCCAACCTCCCTGCAAGCAAGATTTAGAACAGACAAAAGGCCTTAAGATCGGATCAAAATTGGAGTACATGGGGCATGTAATAAAATGATTAAATATAGAATATATTGAAATCTATTTCTTATCACATTTATGTAGTAATGAATGCCCTTCTGCTGACATAGCATTTATATTATGTATCTGCATGGCTATGTATGGGGTAAAGGAACTTTTAAATACCAGTTTGAAGAAAATATTTCTTTGCTTTATTTACAGGATCATCCAAATCTTCCGGTGTAAGAAATAATTTTACAGCCTTCACCTTTAAAAATCAAGCAAGCAAACACATGTTACATAAAAATGACAAATTACTTACTTTAAGAAAAACATGCCTCTTCAAAGAATAGGCATTTAACAAATGCCTATTTGATATTTGATGCTACAATTTTATCTTTAAACTTCCAAAAATTAAATAGTCAATGTTGCCCTAGCTAGTTTTGCTTGCTCAGTGGTTAGAACACGGCCCACAGACTGAAGTGTCTGAAGTTCGATTCTGTTCAAGGGCTTGAACCTCGGTTGCAGGCTTGATCCTTGGCCCCAGCTGAGGCTTGAGAGAGGCAACCAATCAATGTGTCTCTGTCACACTGATGTTTCTCTCTCTCTCTCTCTCTCTCTCTCTCTCTCAATCCCTCTCTCTCTCTCTCCCCCACTTCCCCTCCTTCCCTTCCACTCTCTCTAAAAATATCAATGGAAAAAATATCCTTGGGTGAGGATTAACAGCAACAAAAAATAATCAATGTTACATTTAGAAATAAACTTCTATACAAGCAAGCTTATATACAGGTTTAAAATATTGTGGACCAGAAAAAGTGCTCTCCCATATCTTCCACAGTTCTTCTTCTGTCATTCTTTACCTCTATTATATGAGTACAAGTGTGAAGTAATGACATAAAACACAAACTTGACCAACATACACAACAAAAATAGGGAAGAAAACAAGCAGAAGGGAATGGCAAGCCACTAATTGCATTCCTGTTCTCAAGTCTCAGAATTCATTAGTTTTAAAAGTAATTACCCAATTCTTTTTTTGAAATTGCCAACTTTAATATTTTCTTTTAAAACCTAAATAGATGAAAATATGTTTTTTAAAAAAGAGACATCTACTAGTTCCTGTATTTTATCACTGTCTCTAGAACTGTGATTTATTTCTAAGTATACGTCTTTGAGAGGCAATACTGACTACAAATTTGCAGAAGTGGTCTGCATCATTAACTGTCAACTGTATTTCCATGTACAAGATAATATTCACATGCACAATGCTTCTCACAAGTGCTGTGTTCCTATTCTCTTCTACTCAAGAAAACATACTATAACACAAATGAGTATGGCACTATCATATGAATAATCTTGCCTTTGTGCAAGTATATAATTTTTATAGATTTGTAAGTTTTGCATATTATGTGCACTTCATGCAGTGCAAAACTATGTGTATGCATATAATATGTAATTATATATAAAATATAGACTTTAAATGTATATGTAATTTTAATAATTGGGCAAATGTGGCCTCTTATATGTGACATTCATTTATACTAGTAGTTTCATTTGAAACTAATCAGATAATTTTTCAAATCTGCTGTTCCCTTTTTAGTCTCTAGCTTTGGATGAATGCCTATCTTTTATATAATCTGATACCAGATTTCTAAAATTACAGGATATTACTTTACTCTAAATCTCTTATTCAGTTCGCTCAGAATGTAGTCAGTGTTGGTCAATTCTCTGTTAAGTCTCAAACAATATTGCACATGGCACACAGTTGGCTTTCTTATAGTATGATGCCAAGAATCTAGTAGCTGCTCAATATATGTTCAGTGATATAGAATATGGTATATATATATATATATATATATATGTGTGTGTGTGTGTGTGTGTGTATACATGTGTATATATGCTGGGCTAAGAAAGCAAGGAGCTGCCTTGTGAGTAAGTGCAACTGTGAAAACAAAAAAGATCATATTTTTAAGAATACGTACCATTTCACTCTTCAGCAAAGCCAATCCAATTTGATCTGTGTGAACTTTCCTTCCTATCCCAAATCTCTGCGGCCCATAATAATTCACAAACCCTTTATGCTATGAATAGAAAGAAATCAATTAATTAAAAGCATATTGGTAGGGAGTGCATGCTTGTGCCCACCCCCCCCTCCAAAGTCATATGTTGAAATCCTACCCTCCGATGTGATGGAATGTGGAGGTGGGGCTTGGGGAGATAACTAGGTCTTGAAGATAGAGCCCTCATGAATAGGATTAGTGCCATTATAAGGAAAGGCCACGAAGCTAGCTTAACCTTCTTTCTGCCATGTGAGAAAACCATGTTGGCACTGTAACTTCATGCTCCCAGCCTCCAGAACTATGAGAAATAATGTTCTGTTGTTTAAAAGTCACCCAGTCCAGGGTTCTTTGTTATAGCCCTGAACTAAGACAAATAAATACAATTATTGCATGAGAATATGTAATCAAATCTTTCTCTTCACATTTATTTTAATAAAGAATCCTGTAATCAGCAATATACAAATGGGGACCCAATGGTCTGAGAGATGCTAGACAATTAAAGAATAAAAAGGAGAAGAATAAATGATTAAAAGTTAGAAAATAAGCTGAGTGAAAAAGCTTTTAAAATGTTAGCTTTTCATTAACATTATTGAGGGATTTCCTGGGAGGTGGGGCTTTTGGTGCTAAAATGGGGCAAGTTCTGGGAAGACTGGGATGAATTAGTTACCTAGCATTGTATCTGATCTTTACCCTGAGCTCTTTCTGAATTTGAGATTCTGCCGTCTGGACATGTTTGGAATAAGAAACAGATTTATTTTCAAACCCAGTTCATCTTTCAGCCATCTCAGTTTCTGAAAGCCTGGGCCAAGACAATAACATGGTGTCACTTCACCAAGAATAGAAAATTGTAACTTATTACTGCAACCATTTAAAGACATTGGTCAGTGGTTAAATATATTCTCACAAAGAAAACACCAGGCCCAGACGGTTTCTTGAAAGAGTCTTCCACACTCACTTTATGAAGGAAGTATATATTTATTCATTCAACAATTATTATTGAGCACCAACTCCAGGACTGTTCAATAAAGATGCTAAGACAATTTGTTATTGGTATGGTACAAAAGGCATCCTTACCTCATGCTATTCATGAAAATCAATTGCAGATAAAAAAATAAGTACTCCCTGTATTAAATCTCATAGTTAACATTTTAACTATTTCAAATTTGGAAAAAACAACATAGGATAATATCGTAGAATAGCCAGAAGAATTTTAACTACCTCTTCTAATTACTTAGAGTTGGAAATAACAAGGTTTATAGCAATGAGAGACATGACCTTCTAAAACAAAACTTCAAAGACTTCTTACCAGTATTTTCAGGGCTTCTCAACTCCCTTCCCTTATTATGAGAACTAAAGAAAAGTTGGCTAATGCAAGTATTATTCCAAATGGGGATTTTTATAATGAGCAGTTACATATCCATAAGTACCAAATGAGATAGACAATAAATGCTGTCAGAGTTTAGACCCCCCCTTTTGGTGTTCTGAGCATCCAATTTCAATGTGGAGAGGGAGTGCCCACACCAACAAGCAATTCTCTGACATCAGTTGGGTGCCCCACCATTCAACTCAATTCTGACACTATCTACTCAGAGATAGCATCAGATGCTACAGGTTCAGTGGTCAGTCCTACAAGATTGCCCACCCCCACCACCTTCAGAAGCCAGGTCAGTCACAAACCCAGGCTGTACATGTGCTTCTGATGACCTGCTGTGAACTGAAGGTTACAACAAACACTCCTTGGACTTCAGACACCAGCCGATAGTTCAGGTTGTTATCTGTACTTCTGACCAGCTTGCTTTAAATTAGAAGTTCCCAAGACCCCTACCTCGCGTTCCACTAACTTGCTAGAGAGGCCTGCAGACTCAGAGAAACATTTTACTGACCAGATCACCAATTTATTATAAACTCAGAGTTATGTGACCCAGGAATAGCCAGATGGAAGAGATGCATAGAACCTACGTGGGAAGTGGTGCAGAGGTTCTATGCCCTCTCCAGGTGGACCAATCTCCTTGCATACTCAACTGGAGTTCATCAATCCAGAAGCTCTCTGAATGAACCCTTCTTTTGGGTTTTTATGGAGGTTTCATTACAGAGGAATGATTAATTAAATCATTGGCTGCTGACAATTGATTCCACTGTCGGCCCCTACCTCCTCCCAATTCAGGGGGTGGTACTAAAAGTTATAACCCTGTAATCATAAAGTTGGCTCCATATAAAACCAGCCCCCTCCTTAGGGTCTTTACAAAAGTCACCTCATTAACACAACAAAAGACAACTCTATCACTCTCAACATTTAGGAAACTCCAAGGGTTTGGGAACCTGTGAGCCAGAAACTGTGGATGAAGGCCAAATATATATCTGAAAAATATATTTTAGTCATATGAATGACCAAATATATATTTCTTATAAATCACAATATAGCACCTCCTCCCTTTTGTAAGAAAGATTATTTTAATCACAGTGTTTCAGGGGTGAAAAGAATTTTAGGTAGGTCTAGAAAAAAAAGGAAAAACTGTTAGGCAAGATAGATAGCTGCTAGGGCTAGAGGAGGGGAAAGTGGGGGCGGGGGGGGTGCTTATCTCACCCACTGAACAAAGAAGTCAGCAGTCTTGGGACTTGCCAATATAAAATCGCCAGATGTTCTCATACATTCTGGGAAAAGCCACAACAATGCAAAGAGGGACCTTGAAATCTAGTCTATTGCCCAAGGTATCTGGCAGGGGAAACTTGAAACCCATAGGGGTAAAAGTACAGGATGTCCCCCCAAAATACATACACCATATATATAGTATTTATTAAAATACTTTTCATTTTCAAAATGTAATAGGAGCTAGAGCTATCAGCTGTTAAAGTGTGTATACATTTGGGGGAGGGGAAACACCCTTATAAAACCCTTGAACCCTCACCAAGCAGGGCACTCAGACTAGCTGAGTTGCCCATTTGTGCTTTATGCTTTATAAATTCGATTGCTTTGTTTCCTTAATAACTTCATTTGCTTTGTTCAATACTGCTTTCTGTCACTAGTCTGAAGAGAGAGAGAGAGAGAGAGAGAGAGAGAGAGAGAGAGCGAGCTGAGAAGGGGAGAGCCCTCTCAGACTCAAGTGGCTCCTCCGGTAACAAAACTGCACATGGAGTATAAATTAAGAGAAATCCTATACACAGGTGAGTGTGCTGAATTTAAAATCTTTAATTGGAGGATATTTTCCTGACTATAAGACATAATATTGATTAAAAAACAGTTTTTGTTTGTTTTCCTAGGGGGGGAGGCATAAAATTGTATAAAAAGGTCTGAATGGCCAGAAATTTGATAAGTTTTTCTCAATGTTAGCTACAGAGTAGAATCATTTGGGGAGTTATTTTTTGAAATACTAATGCCCAAACTGCATCCCCAGTGTTCTTATTTAATTGGTTTGGGGGGTAGAGATTCACTGCTGAGAATTTTTTAAGCCCTGCAGGTTGAGAATTACTGTCCTAGATCAGGACCTGGCAAACTACTGACTCCCAACGAGCAAAATCTGGCCCAACACCTGTTTTTGTAAATAAAGTTTCATTGGAACATGGCTATGTTCAACCATTTATGTATTGTCTATGGCTGCTCCCACACAATAGCAATAGAATAGTTGCAACAGAGACCATATGCCTACAAAGTAAAAAAATATGTATCACTGGACCTTTATAGAAAAAATTTGCTGACCCATAGTCTAGACCAGTGGTCGACAAACTGTGGCTTAGCAACCCGTGGCTCGCGAGCCACATGCGGCTCTTTGGCCCCTTGAGTGTGGCTCTTTCACAAAATACTGACTTTTGCGCATGGGCCACGAAGTTTCAATCGCACTGTACGTGCGCACCTGCACGTGGTATTTTGTGGAAGAGCCATGCTCAAGGGGCCAAAGAGCCGCATGTGGCTCGCGAGCTGTGGTTTGCTGACCACGGGACGATCTGATTGAAGGCTATGGTTGTATATGTATATTTAAATGCCTGGCAAATGTCATTTAAAAATACATGTTAAGTAATTTTTTTTACTGTAAAACATAATAAAATGTATATAATGTCATTTGTATACATTGAAACAAAATTCAAAATTAAATTGAAAAGAAAAAAAGAATATGTATAATTCTAAAAGATTATTTTCCAAATCACCAAAGATTTCTGAAAAGAATTACTAAACAAAGTTTCCAAAAACATTAATCCCTTTCCCAAAAATATTACCCTATATGGCAGATGCTGAAAAACATTCTTCTTATACAATTAGCTTTATTTTTCCCCCATCTCTGGGAAATGTTACACATTTTATTTTTTTAATTATATTAAAGCTGTTGTTGTTTAATATAAAAATGTACTAAGAAGAAAATTTAAAAATAAGCCAAATGGCCCTAAATATCATTTAAAAAAATAATTATACAGGCCCTGGCCAGGTAGCTCAGTTGCTTGCACTGTCGCAATATGCAAAGGTTGTGGGATCGATATCTGGTCAGGGCACATACAAGAAGCAATCAATGCATACATAAGAAAGTGGAACAATAAATCTCTCTCTCCTCTCTCTCTCTAATCAATAAAAAATTATACATGTAAATAAAAAGAAAAGGTAAAAAAGAAAAAGTTTATCTTCTCACTTCAATGTAAATAGAGGGACTATCAAAATTTTCCTATAATACTCTTTTAAAATTGAGTTTTCTTACCTTAACATTTTCTATTGCCTCCAAAATTCTCTCTCTCAGGTTTGCAGAATCATTTATTTGGTTTTTTACAT